CATTCATGCAGCATGCGAATCGCTTCTGGCGCCGACCGCGCAAACGGTTCACCGACGATATTGCAGAACTCAGCTGCTCTGTCCTTGGGCGAAGGACAGGGATTCGGCAGTGCCAGCGCCTGCATGATGGGCAGTGGAGATCTCGTATTTGCTTCGCACAGGACGACCGACAGCGACACGGAGGAGGAGGAGGAAGAGGAGGAGGAGGAGGACGTGCTTCTTCTTTTTCGACACACGCTGCCGCCCTTGCGCCACTGCCTACGCAACGAGCTCGTGCCTATGTTCGCCAAGCCTCTGGGTCGACACCGTAGGGGTACCGAGGATTTTTTCGCGCCCGCGCGGCTGCCCGCCATGACGAGGAGCGGCGCAAGTGGAACGACACGTTCGACATGTCGAAAGCAATCCACAGCCAGCTCAATCAACCTTGCGGTGATATCCAAGCTTGCCCCGTGAACATACGTGGTGATACCGAGCCGCTGGATTGTAGAGCACATGCCTCGTGCCTCTGTCTGGCCGCTTTGTGGCACTGTTGCACTACTGCTTGCAGGGCTGTCTATGTTATGTGTGCGTGTTCGTTTCTATCATGCACATACAGTCGTGTGCCTCCATATTCGGCCCCGCGCCTGTCCCATCTGGTGAGCGGGCACTTCCTTCGATCGCGCGGGCGCCCCGGTCTGCTCGAACTCCCCTTCTGGGCAGCGCGCTCCTCCTCCTCTTGCCCTCCCTCCCTCTCATCTCCCCTTCCTCCCCCCTTCTCTCCTCAGTTGATCTCCTCAGTTGAGGAGGAGGAGGAGGAGGAGGAGGAGGAGGAGGAGGAGGAGGAGGAGGAGGAGGAGGAGGAGGAGGAGGAGTCGCGAGCCCGTGAGGCGACGCGCCGAGTGCAGAATCGAGAGAGGCGGCGGCAGCAAGGAGAAGACGAGAGGTGCGCAATCGAACACGAAACGGTTTCGGGCCCCAGGGCGCCCACGGCCCAGCCGAAGCCTCTCACGGCCACGCCGAGCGGACCCGAAGGAGGGAAAGCCCAGGGCCGACAAAACAGCGCCAGACTCCCAGAGACGAAAGGCGCGAGGAGCTCACGCCATAAACATGAAGGAGCCCGACTCGGGCTCAAGATGCGGAAAGTAGGCCGAGCCACTGGACAGCGTCGTCTGTGACCTCAAGCCTGCGTGGAGTGGGGAGGGGAAGGGCTGTCTTCCCTTTGGGGTGGACGCCCTTTATAAAATTGTCCCTCCGCCATTTCCGTTGGGGGTTGCATTAGAGGGCGGCCTCGGGGCCGCATTCCCAGAACAGCTGGGTGCGCGCCGTCCTCGCCGAGAAAGCCCCACATTGGCTGCACCCCACCAAATCCCCAGAGATGTACAAGACGTGCCCTCTCGCGCTCTCGGGGGGGACCTCACCTGAGCGCGGGAGGGGAGCAGCAGGGACCGTGGCTCCCGCCCTGGAGGTGGGGGCCCCCTTGCTACTGCGCTTCACGCCACGAGACTCCACCGTACGCGCCGCCGCTCTCACCACCTCCTGAGGCCGATCGGGCCTCTCGAGGTCCTGCGCGAAAGTGACCCTCGAAACTCGCACAGGAGGCTCGGGCGGCGTCGGCACGACAGCGGAGGAGGACGAGGAGGCAGGGGAGTCCGAAGGAGGTCGAAGCGAGGGGAGAGGCGAGACTCCCTGGGGGGGGTGGCAAGCCTCAAACCTCTGGGTCCAACTTCCTGGCCAGGACGGCGCTCTCCTAACTCACCTGAAACGCCAGGAGGAGGGGGAGGGCTCAAAGGAGGAGGGGGGGCTGAGTCTACCCGAGGCCGCACTCCTCTGTGACACTCGTCCCCGTCGCCACCCTCCAAGCGACGTCGACGGTCGGTACAGCGCGGTACGTCACTCAAGTCCTGGGTGGGCCCGTCTCCCCGCGGCTGATAGCCTCCCTGGGCCTCGCCGCGAGGTCGTTTGGACCTGGAGGCCTCAGTCGAGTCCTCCAGGTCTCCCAGCTGCCGTTTCCGCTGGGAAGCGGTGGCTGGGTGGGCCCGAAACGCCTTCACGGGGCAAACCTCCCTCTGGAGCCTCCTGATGCCCCTGACGTTACGCGCGAACCTAGGACAATGGCGGCACCGCCACCCAGAGGCTGCAAGGATGGGATCATGGAACTTTTCACTCACCGCTGACGGTACCCGCAGCGCCCGCTGTCGCCTGGCTCCTGCGGGTGCACCGCCTCCGCCTTCTCGGTCCTGCGGCGCTCGGCGAGGGCGGCGGCCGACCACCGCCACGCGGTCTGCCAGCTGGTCTGGCGCCGCCTGCAGGCTGCCCATCCACGCGCCCACCTGCCGCAAGGCCTTGAGCAGCCTGGCGTGCTCGTCGTAGGTCTCCGTGGGGAGCTGGTGCAGCGCCATGCCCTTCTTGGCGGCCACGTCCGCGAAGTCGTTCCCAACCTTGTCGATGCTGTCTCCAGCTCCCGTGAGGGTCTGATGGCCCTCGACCCATGTGACCTGCAGCTGATCCGATAGACCTCCGTGGTCTCTGGTAGCGTGCCGTATCTGGCGCCACAAGTCCACATTGTCCTTTCTAGCATGGGTGCAGTGTCGTTCACCACAGGCTAGAGAGTCGACCAATCCCAAGCAATCCGTTTTGATGTGTAGCGGCAGCCGTCCATGTCGTAGCGCCTGCAGTGCAGCGTATAGTTCAGCTCGCTGGGCTGTCTGCATGGGGCCTGGAAGCGGCCCAAAGGCCATGCCTCTGAGGCGGCGTCCGCTGAGGATAGCAATTCCCCAACCTGCGCGGCTCGCCTCTGGCCAATAGAGCGGGCTCCGCGCCGATCCATCGGTATAGACCACTCCCGTGATGTCCATTGTCTGGCCTCCCATGCAGTACCACCATCTGTGCGTGTCGACTGGAGGCGGGATGTCGGGTAGCATTGCCCTGGGCAGTAGGGCTTGCGTGAAGAACAAATCTGCCACGTCAGGCTGAGCGGCCATGGCTAGCAGCTCCTCGTCCACGGCGCGGCTGCGGACCTCCTGGGAATGCGGGCATGTCCAGAAACGATGGTGTAGATCACCCACTTGTCCACACCTTTGGCACAACGAGGATTCGCAATACCCCATCTTGTGAAGGCGCAACTGTGACCACTGGGCACCGATGACCGTAGAACGGAGGGCCCCGCGCGCCTGTGGGGAGAGATTCTATGTGGCCGCTTCCGCTGGTGTCGTCATCATAGCAGCGATGGGCTCAATCCAGTAACCTCTGGGATCTCGTGGTGGGGGCTCAGGGCGTTCTGCAGCATGGGGCTTTCGGCGCCCCGTTCCTCCCATGGAACTGACTGGTCTGAAACTGCGCCTTGCCACAGCGCGTATGCTGTTAGGTGACATGTCCTCCAAGTTCATGTGAATGCCGTTGCCTGTCTCCCACTGAACGTGAGAGTGAGGCCTCCGCCCGCGCCGGCGAAGTGCCATCATAACGGCGCCTGCAGGGCCTGCGACCGCCGACCGGGACGCGGCTGTTGACTGCAGGCGGGGATGCGGAAGGCGCTAAGCTCGCTGAAGGACTTCCCCTGGGACCTTGCGATCAAAGACCATCTGCGCCCAGGTGTAGATGGGTTCCACGATGGCCATGGCCTCTGGCTGCTGGAGCCGCTTCCAGGAGAGAGGGCCGCCAGGCGGAGGAGGCGGTGGGGGTCTTGCTCCATCCCGCACGGACCAAGCGAGTCATGGTGCGCACTGTAGCTGGTGGGGCACCGACGACCTGGCTGCCGTATGTCATGCCTGGCGCAATGCATGGGCGGGCCACGCGACGCGATATCTTGGCCAAGCCGCGAAGCAACCTGAAAGCGGGGCATCCTGATCTTCATCTTCCGTATGCGCTTGTGCACCTCGGTGTGCATGAGGCGTGATCCCGCCCGACGCTCCAAACCCAGGGTGCTCAGCTTGTTAACAGCACAGAAGCCATGCTGGGCCAACCGCTCGGCGATGGACCTGGCAATGGTTTCGGTCGAGCCGAGGATCTTGGCCTTGTCCTGTGCGATGGACAGCTGGGGCGCATGCAAAACCACTGCGAGGCGGTCTATGGCCGCCACTGCATGGGCGATGATATCCTCGATGGGCACCATAATCTGCAAGGTGATGTCATCCGCGTAGATGTCGAGGGTGTGCGGGGTGCTGGCAATGGACGCCTGGTATGCGTCAAACGGCCAGATCAAAACCAGCTGCAGTAGAAACATTGCGATGGAACATCCCGGGAGGACTCCTTGCATGGCGCGAACCGCGTATGAGTAAGTGGCACCGCAGCGGCTGCGACGGGGGGCTGCATACATGGCCAACACCACCTTGACGAGGCCCAGCGGGAAGCCAAAGTGCTTGGCCGCCTCCACAATCTTGTCCCAGCGCACGCGGTCGAAACACTTGCTGATGTCCACCATGGCCGTGATGATCTGGTCGCCTGCCGCCTGGCCCCCCGCCTCTGCGTAGACCATGGTGCGAGCGCCCACGTCGATGGTAGAGCAACCCGCTCCCAATGCGAAGTAAGGGCGAGTGCTTGCTGCAGCCCATCTCCTCACGTGAACGATTCTAATCTTAGTGTAAACTCTGTGCAGAGACGACAGGATAATGATAGGTCGGAAGCCTCCTGTGGTCTTTGCCAGCAACATGACGTGCATCATCAGAGTGGGGGTGGGCCACCTGCCCCACCTTTCCCTGCCCAGAGAATGTAAACCATCATTGCCAACGCTTCGTCGGTGAGGAGCGAATCTGCCCGAGGAGGCATTGCATCTGCAGCTAGTCCAGTGCGCCAGCTGAAAGACCTGGAGGCCCTCCACCTCCTCCACAGATGGGACTGGGAGATTCTCCGTCGGCAAAGCACTGATGAGCTGCGAGAGGCTGCCATCAGAATCAATAAGATGGTCCACATCGTACTCATGGGTCTCCTCCGCGCCCTGGGCCAGGTCGGCATCACCAAAAACTTGTTCCTTCGTAGCTGACGCCGAGACCCGATCCGCATTCCAGATACCCCCCCCCCCCCAGAACCGCATCTGGTCGTCGGCGACAGCCTGCGGGAGGGAGGTACGAATGCCGAAGGAGACCGCCTCACTGTGCGCCCAGCCCTTCAACTTGGTCACGCCGAAGAGGGGGGCGGCGCCAGTCACCAGGGAGTCCTGGGCCCACTTGTGGAAACTGCGGACGCGCTGCGAGGCGATGCAATGCTCCATGGACTGGGCGCGCGCCTCGACCACGGACTGATAGGCCTGCAAGATGACGAGGCAGGAGGGGCGTTCCTGCCGAACAGCAAAGTGCACCACTGGCCATGCCCACTCGTGCAACTGGAGCCCCTCAGGCGCGTGGCTGTCCTGGCGATGACCTGGCCGAAGGGCTCTAACAAGGGGCTGCCGCCGCCTTGCGTCACTCTGGTCCTTCTTGAGTGCATTCGCGATATCGGAAATAGCAAAAAACCAGGTTGCGCAAGTACCTCGCTTCGGAGCCCGCGGCAGGATGCCCACGGTGAGGGGGGCCCCCGACAGGTCGCCAAACATATCGAGGAGGCTGTCCTCGACCCGCGTAGGAGGTGGCGTCCTGCAAGTCGTAGATGTGGCACAGGTCATGCTCCACAAAGCCCATGAAACTGGAGTCGAGGTCGTCCAGGCGCTGTCTGGCTTGTCCAGGGCAGGCAGGCGCCCCTCGAGCCGCATCATGTCGGACGACATCCACGTAGGGCTGCATGGGTGGTGCTCCCCGTAGCGGTGACGCTCCCGCGCGCCGAGGGGCTTGCTTGGGAAAAGGCCGTGGGGCCTGAAGATGGAGCTGACATTGCGCAGCAAGATCGAATCTCGCAGGAAAATGCGGCCGAGCCGTCCACTGATCAAGGACTCGGGGTAGTCCGCATGCCTTGACAAAACCTGGGGTGGTGAGCCAGTAGTCCAGCCTCCTATGCGTGCCAGCGGTGGCTGCACGACAGGTACCCGACTCGGATGCCACGGCCGCTGCCGGCATGACCTGGAGAATGTCATGGTCCTCGAGGTCCTGCGGCTGCGCGTTCCAACCCCCAGCGAAGACGGATGGCAAAGAGTAGTGTCGCATGGCCTCGGCTATGCGCATCGGCCTCTGATAGTTGACCGTCATGTAGTCCGCCTCTGGAACTGACTCCATGTACGCCGAACCTATGATGAAGCCGCCTCGCAAACCCGCACGGGTGTGCACAGCCGCAGCCCACGAGCGAAGGATCTCAAAACTGCCAGCTGCGCCCCCAGCTCCACTCAGCAGAGTGGCGTGCACATGCGCTCTGACAAAGATCCCAACTCCTGCGCTTAGGAGGCTGCAGGCTGCTCTCCAAGCGGCGACACGGGCTGATGAATGGCTGCCACCGATTCCGCGTAGCCCAAGCTCGAGCACGATCCAGGGATTCGCCGTCGAGGCGGAGTTCCTGTGCTGAAGCAATGAGCGCGTCCTGGGCGCCCTCGAGCAGGAAAGATCGCAGCGTGGCCCAGCATGAACCGTTGAACGTGACGATGCCCATGGCGCGCCTGGAAGCGCGCCTTCTTACGTGTGCAAAGTCAGAGCCTGAATTTAGTCATCAACCTCGCCCTTCTCTTGGCGTGATCAACCGGAGAACTACCTTTCTCTCCGCTTCTGCTCCTCGGTGCGCCGCTCGCGCTCCCCTCCGGCTCTTATCCTTCGCCCCCCTTCTCTATCCTTAGCCGCTCCCTGCTCCAATTGTCCGTCATTCGCTTGGCTCCGGAGGTGGCCCTCGAGGCTTTGGCATCGGACTTCCCCTCCTCTCTTCTTCGCCCCCCCCCCCCCCCTGCGCGACTGTCCAGACCGTTACGCCTCCCGCTAAACATTCGCGAGAGCCCGGGCCCCCCGCGACGAATTCGCGAGAGTCCCGCGAAAGATTTGCGGGAACCCTTCGCGCCGTGCATTGTCCTCCCAGGCGCCCCCCCGGGCTACCTCGCCCCCGTGGGGCACCCTTGGGCGATGCGCGAGGGCTGGTCCCGCGCGAGACCGCCCCGGGCGACGTGTGCAGGCACTGAGTGGCGGAGACCCCCCCGGGCGATTCCACCGCTCGGACCGACCCCTGCCAGGGCGAGTCGGCCCGTCCTGGAAACCCCCCCAGGCGATCCAGGACCCCCCGCGCCCTCCCAGGCGAGCGGGGGCGCTTGCGGGAAAAAACCCACGCCGAAGCTCCCCTTTTTAAGGGAACCTTGGCGGGGGCGATCCGCGCCGGGGCGGCAGTCGAACCCTCCTGGGCGATCGACCGCGGCAGATTCCCCCCGCACCAACAAAAACACAAACAAACACAAATCAACACACAAAAAACATACAAAAAACACAACAAAAAAACATACAAAAAACACCGGGCGTAACAGAAAAAACACAAAAAGACACAAAAGCCACACAGACACACACACACACAAAACTAACTAAATTATGGTTCTGACTTTGCACACCTAAGCCTTCTGCCACGCCTAGGCGGCCCCCGCATGCTCCCGCTGGGCTGCAGGTCCGCCTTCTGCGACAGCTTGTTGATGGGGTGCTGGCGGGCTAACAGGGGCTGCCGCTGCCGTGGGCCGAGGGGCGCTGGCGCCAGCGGGCTGCCCGCCCGCGGGACGAAAAGCAGCGCCTGCCTGATCCGCGGGGGCCGCAGCCGCTGGCAGGGCGCCACCCAGCGCACGTGGCTGACCAGCTGGTCCAGGATTGCGCCCCCCCCCCGCGTTCCGATCCTGTCCCTGGAGGATGGGCGAGTGGGCTCCTTGTAGTAGCTGCTGGAGCGCCGCCACGGATGAGGCGGCATCCGCTGGGAGGGGTGCAGTGGCATTGGCCAGCCTGGCCTGGGCCGCCTCCGCCTCAGACTCCACCAGCTGGTGCTTGACGGCGTCGAGCTTCTCTGTGGCGGCCGCCAACTGGGCAGTGGGGTTGCCCACTTCCTCCTGAAGTGCCTCCCGAGCGGCCTGCCTGTCGAGGGCCGAGCGGAGGGCATCCTCGGGGGCATCTTGGCGCGCTCTGCAGCCTCAGCGGCCGCGAGCTCCTCCCGAGAGGCGACCACCATGGCGTGCTTGTCGTCGTAGATGCTGCGCAAGGCCTTGAGGGCTCGCCTGCGCTTGGCCACGGCATGCGCCTCTGGGGTGCCTCCTCCGCCGCCGTCCATCGGGTCGTCCGCGCGAGCCCCGTCGCGAGCAGCAGCAGGAGGACGGCCAGCAGAGCGGGGACGCGGCTTGGAGCGCTGGCGGGGATGCGAGCGGGCACCGCCTTCGGCAGTTGGCCAGCCCGCTCTGTCCCTGCCGCACGCCCAGCACGTCTCTCGGCTGGCGTAGTTCGTCGTGTAGCCGCACGCGCGAGTGGCCACGCATGCCCAGGTGGCACCACTGGGGGGCTGCCGCGCCCTCCACGGTGTCTCAGGCGCGGCCGCACGGCCGTCTGCCATGGCGTCGCCGTGGTGCCCTGCGAGGATCCTGCGGGCCTGCGCCTCGCGCGGGACCGCACGGGCAGAGGCGCGCCGCCGCCGCCGCAGTCGCCTGTGCCAGGCAGGGGACGCGCTGGGCGAGCCACGTGCAGCCGTCCTGCCAGGCCCTGCCGCCCTCGGCCTCGCAGTCGGCACCCCCAGATGCCGCGCGCACCAGCGCCCGCCTCGCCGCGGGCCGCTGGCGACTGGGGCCGAATGGCAGGCCCCCCGCCGCGCGCCCCCGCGCGCGTGGGAGCCCCAAACGGCGCCTTCAGCCAAAATGGCTACGGAAGGAGGAGGAGGAGGAGGAGGAGGAGGAGGAGGAGGAGGAGGAGAGAGGAGGAGGAGGAGGAGGAGGAGGAAGGGGGAGGAGGAGGAGGAGGAGGAGGAGGAGGAGGAGGAGGAGGGGGAGGAGGAGGAGGAGGAGGGAGGAGGAGGAGGAGGAGGAGGAGGAGGAGGGAGGAGGAGGAGGAGGAGGAGGAGGAGGAGGAAGCTCTTCGCCTTCGCCCTCCCTCCCCCCCCTTCCTTCCGCCCCTCCCTGCTCTGCACGTCCGGCGCCCGCCCCCGCCAGTCGGCCGCCAACCGCGACGCGGCGCTGCTCGTGGCCTTGTGGGTCATCCGTCCTCCGCTCCGCGGGTGGGCCGGGTCGAGGGAGGATGGGAGGGAGGGGTCGAGATGGGGAGAGGGGGGGGGGAGGGAGGGAGGGGAGGGAGGGAGGGAGTGAAGGGAGGGAGGGAGGGGAGGGGGTAGGGAGGAAGGGGAGAGGGAGTGAGGGGAGAGGGGGGGAGGGAGGGGGAGGGAGGGGAGGGAGGCAGGGAGGGAGGGGAGGCAGGGGAGGGAGGGAGGGAGTAGGGGAGGGGAGGAGGGAGGGGGGGGGGGCGGGAGGGAAGGGGGGGGGGGGGAGGGGGGGAGGGAGGGGTGGATGGATCATGGTGCTGACGGTCATGATGATGATGATGATGATGATGATGATGATGATGATGATGATGATGATGATGATGATGATGATGATGTTGATGATGATGATGATGATGATGCTGATGATGATGATGATGATGATGATGATGACGATGGTGGTGGTGGTGGTAATGGTGGTGCTGATGCTGGTGGTGATGATGCTGCTGATGCTGATGATGATGATGCTGATGGTGGTGGTGGTGGTGATGATGATGCTGATGCTGATGCTGATGCTGCTGCTGATGATGATGCTGATGATGATGATAATGAGGATGAGGATGATGAGGATGCTGCTGATGATGCTGCTGATGATGATGATGACGATGGTCATGATGATGCTGATGATGATGCTGCTAATGATGATGATGCTGATGATGATAATGATGATGATGATGATGCTGATGATGATTATGATGATGCTGCTGCTGATGATGATGATGATGACGATGATGATGCTGATGATGATGATGATGATGATGATGATGTTGATGATGATGATGATGATGATTGTGGTGGTGGTGGTGGTGGTGGTGGTGATGATGATGATGATGATGATGATGATGATGATGATGATGATGATGATGATGATGACTGTGGCGACGATGGTCATGATGATTATCCAGCTGCCTCCAGCAACTCCCCCACCTTGCCACCGCACCACTTTGGATTGCGACCACAGTAGGCCGTCCCGCGTGACACCTCGGGCCTCTCGAAAACCTTGGAAGCCTGTTGGGTGCCTCGTGGGGGCCTCCAGAGGGCCTCTTCGGGGCCTCTTGAGGCTTCTTGGCGACGTCTTGGGATCGCCTCGGAGGCTCTGGGGGGCTTTTTGGGCCGTCTGGGAGCGCCCTTTGCCCGTCCGGGAGCTTTCGGACTCCGTCATTGGGGGGCTCTCCGGGCCCTCTTCGGGCCCTCGTGGGGGCCTCGAGGGCCGTTTGAGGGCCCGCTTGGGCCGACCGGTGGTTTCTCAGAGGAGGAAAAGGTACCCATGCCTCTACCCTTTCCTCGTTTCCCCCTTTGTGCCTTCTCGGAGGCCCTCGTCGCCACCGCTAGATTCGCCTGGAAATCCTGGTCAGAACGCACCCCGGGAGAGATCCTGGGAGTAGCGGTATCGGTACCTTTTGGTTTCCCCAGTTTCTTGGACCGCTTTTGGACCATCTTGGAACCCTCTTGGGCCGTCTTTCGGCCTTTGTCATGCCCCCTGTTGGCCGTCTTGAGGCCATCTCGGGGGTCTTCTTGGGACGTCTCGAGCTCATGGGCTCCCGAAAAGGTGAGACTGCGACCATCCATCGACAGGGAAACCGATGAGTTTTGCCATTTTGGGGCCCTTCTGGAGGTCCTCCTGGAATCCTTGCGGGCCGTCCGGAAAGCTTCTTCGGCAGTTCTGAGGCCATCTTGGGCCGTCGTGGATACTCTGGGGTTCTTAATGAGCGTGGTGGGGGGACCACCCCGACGGGGGTCAACCTCGCCTCGTCGTCGCGCCGCGACGGGGGTCGGAGCGCCTTCGGCGCGTGGTGGCTGCCCGCGACGCTTATTAAGAAACTCGGAGTACATCTTGGGCTAAGTCGGGCCTGTCCCTCTACAGGGGGAATATTCAAAAATAGTCCAAAAATTGTCAGCGAACGATATGTTGAGCATTTCTTTACCATTTGGGGGTATTTTTCTGAGTATCTGTTATTGCTCGTCCAAAACCCCCTTGTAGGGGGACATACCCGATCTAACCTTGGATTTCCGCTTGCCCCTCCGCGCGCCTCCCCGTCCCACAATGGGCCCTTCGAGTCCTGTGCCGTGGTCGGCGGGGCAGTCGCTGCGAGCGCCGTCGGGGGATCCTTCTTCGACTCGACTCAGGAGGGAAAGAAACACACAGACACAATTAATCGTCGACTCCCAGGAAAATATGCAAAAATATGGGAAGTGGTGGGGAAGACAAAAACCCAGAAAATATGGGAAAATATGGGGGATATTTTTATGTGTGTGTATTTATTTGTGTGTTCCAGTTCCCCTTCATCGACGCTCGGCGCGGCGAAGCGAACGGAGACCAGGGCAATCGGGAAGAGCATGGGCGGCGTGGGCCCAGTCGGGGCGCTGAAGAAGGAGCCCTTTTCGTTGGGGAGGGGCTCCGTGTTCCTGGATTGTTCCACAGCTTGCCTCAGGTTGTCCTCAGGTTTTCGATGGGAGATCGAACTTTGGCTGATGGGAAAAAGGGGCCTCGTTCCTTATTTGGGGTCCCTTGGGTCAACGACCCGACGGCAGGCTGTCAGATGCGGCGCGGGCCCACCCCAGTGTGCCGCCTCTCCCCTGTCCCTGCTCACCTCTCCCCTCGCCCCTCGAACCCTCTCCCCTTTTCCGGCATCGCCGTTAGAATAAGAGTATCTTCATGTTGACGAAGATATGCTTTTAGATGTTGGGCGGCACTCTGCCTTTTGCCATCGTTCGTTCGTCGCCTCTTGCTCTGCCATGCTCCCCTCGCCCCTCGCCGCTCCCCCTTCGGATTTCTCCCTGCCTCTCGCCTCGGCGAGGAAGCCAAAATCATTGTTGTTACTATGATTTTGGCCCCATTTTGGCCTCCTGGGGGGGGGGGGGGGCGCTAATTAGTGCTCCCCTCTTGTTTGATCGATCTCATCTAAGATGGCCCCAAGAAGCGTCCAGGAGGCCCCAAGAGGTCCCAAGATGGCCCCAAGATGGCCCCGAGAGGCCCCCAAGAGGCCCCCAGGAGACCCCCAAGAGGTCCCCAAGAGGCCCCAAGAGACTGGGCACCGTGGTGGCCCACCTGATCACCCCTTGCGCCATTTACAGGACATGAGTGCGACTGTCAGGGGTGTAGAGCACATGGTTCTCTGCAGGATGAGTCCCTCGAGGACGATGCTAAGGAATCCCAGATGACCACCGTTGCGGGGATCCGTGCACGTGCGCAAGTCGGGCTGATGTTGAACGCCTCTCGTGTTCGAGAAAACCCGAGGTTGCAACATTCATGTTTTGAAGGGAGGGTCAACGAGACGAATGACGGTCGCACCCTGTATATCAACAGGGCTTACGACTATCCTACACCCTTTTTTCCCTTCCCCTCCTTCCCTCCGTGGTGTGCTTCCTCCGCGCGCTCATTCCGCTCCCCCCTCCCCGACCGCGAGGTCGCTTACATCGCAATGGTCATTCTCAAATCTCTGAACATGATCTGATTTGTCCAGGCGATGCCTGCCTGTTTTCGACTGCCCTTGCCGCGACCTGTATTGCGGCAGCGGTACGGGTACTTTTCAGCGAGCTCGAGAGCCCTTCAGGGGCTCGGGCGCGGGGTGACCTCCGCACCGCTGGATCCGTATCTGCATCCGCTTGCGCGACCTGTGTGCCCGTACTCCTCCCTTTCCTCCTCTTCCTCCTCCTCCTCCTCCTCCTCCTCCTCCTCTTCCTCCCTCCTCCTCTTCCTCCCTCCTCCTCCTCCCTCCTCCTCCTCCTCCCTCCTCCTCCTCCCTCCTCCTCCTCCTCCTCCTCCTCCTCCTCCTCCTCCTCCTCCACGGCTCCTCGCATTCCTTGGCATCGCTCGGACGTGGGCATTTTCTCTCGGCCAGGGCCATCGAGGAGCATCTTGGACGATCCCGCGAGCAAGAATGCACGCACGAGGCCGCAAGCGTGCACGGGGCAGGGACGCCAGAGCGATGGCAAGCTCTCCTCCCTCCAGTCCCTGGCGCCCCCGGGGGGGGGGAGGGAGTCGCTTGGCCCCTGGAGTTAAGACGTCCCCACTTACTCTAGCCTTTACCACCAGAAAGAATGTCGAGCACCAAGAGAGTACCGAAGCCGGAGGGTATTCACGCGTCGTGCCCTGGGAGGCGGTACTCGTTCGACACCGTCTCGATGCTTTCCTGGGTACCCGAAACTGTTTCTGGGGTACGGTCCTCAAGTGCGACGGGAGCAACATACAGTGGATGCCCATGCCAAGAAACACCCTACTTGACTCCAGGGTGCCCTGGGTTTCTTGGGCTTCGGTGGTTTCGCTGCGGAAGGGGTGACGTCCCCACGCCAAACACAAATGGACGTCCTGGGGTCTCAGGGTTGGGTTTCGTGTGGACGGTTTCTTGTGGACTGGCCTCCACTGCAACCCTGGAGGAGAGCCCCGCCGCTTCCCCCCTCAGGGCGCCGCAGCCGCGTGCCCTGCCCCGCCCCCTGCCTCGAGGGCCCGCCGGGTACTCGTTTTGATTGGAGCACTGTCTGCCCCATCCTCGTCCTCTTCTCCTCCTCCTTCTCCTCCTCCTCCTCCTCCTCCTGCCTCCTCCTTTCTCCACGGCGGATCCTTCAGTGGAGGCCAGTCCACAAGAAACCTTCCTGAGGAAACCTAACCCTGAGAACCCAGGACGTCCATTGGTTTTTGGTGGGAACGTCGGCGTTTCCATGGCAGAACCATCGAACCCCAAGAAACCCAGGGCACCCTTGAGGCAAGCAGGGTGTTTCTTGGCATGGGTCTCCACTGCAATCGTTTCACTCATTCCGCCGGACCGTGTTGTGCCATCACAGGCGGATTCTTGCGCGCTCGTGGCCTCTGGGGCCTCTCGGGGGGGCCGTTTGGGGGCCTCTTGGGGCCTCTTCTCACTAGCATATCCGATCCTCATCCCCATCCCCATCCCCTTCGAGACCCCCATCAAAGTACCCCCTCAGTTGGGGATACACCCCTCGAAACTCGAAGGAAACGGCCTATATCCCCAGTGGGGCTCAGGCCACGCCGCTGGGCATGGGGATCGGATAAACGATACTCATTTTTGGGAGGGCCTCTTTCTGGTGTCTCTTGGGAGCCTCGTGGGGCTTCCAGGTGGCCGCCTGGGCTCTCCTGGGGTCCTCCTGGGGGCACCTTGGGGCGGAAGGCTTAATTGGTGGTTCGAGTTCCCCCTCCTGAGCCTCTCTTGGGGCCGTCTTGGGGCCCTCTTGGGCGATCTTGGGGCCCTCTGGGGCCGTTTTGGGACCCTCTTGGGCTCTCTTGGGCCTATCTTGGGGGCGTGTTGAGCCGTCTGGGGACGATGTTGAAGGCCTCTGGGGCAATTCCGGACGCTGCTAACCCCCAAACGTCGCACATGCGAAACATGTGCGTTTGCCATGGGGAGTGGCACGATGTTTGCTTGCTGGGGGGCCCTCTTGGAGAGCCTCTTGAGGCTCTCTTGCGGCCTTTTCGCGGCCTCTGGGGCCATCTGGAGGCCATCTTGAGCCCCTTGGAGCGATCCTTCGGCGACTCGGGGCCTCTTGGGCCGCGTGCCCTCTTGGAGAGCCTCTTGAGGCTCTCCAAGAGGGCCTTCTCGCGGCCTCTGGGGCCATCTGGAGGCCATCTCGAGCCTCCTGGAACGATCCTGGGGCCATCTGGAGGCCATCTGGGGGCCATTTGGAGGCCATCTTGAGCCTCTTGGAGCGATCCTTCGGCGACTCGGGGCCTCTTGGGCCGCGCGGGGGGGCCGTCCTCTGCGCCCCCTGGGCGCACGCTCCTGGAGCGCCCCCCGGGGGGAGAGCCAGCCGGGCCTCGCCCGGGGCCTCAGCTTTTCAACGCTTTGCTACAGCACAGTCTTGCACCACTAATCACCGACTGGCAAAAGAAGGGCAAGGGAGTGTAGCTAGGATTCACCACCACCTCCACGCTCACTAACCTCCGCTTCGCCGACGACGTGCTCCTTACTAGCCAAACTCTACCGCGCCTCACCGCGATGCTCGACGACATCGTGCGCGCAGTGCGACCTCACGGACTTGAGTTGCACCCTTCCAAAACCAAAATACTCAGCAACCAGACCAAACGGACTGGCAGGGCAAGCTCGCGCACAGTACACATTCAGGGCATGGACATCGACATCCTTCCCCACGATGGCAGCATCAAGTACTTAGGTCAGCTCATCAGCTTTCACGACGCGATGGAGACTGAAATCCACCACCGTACGAGGGCAGCATGGGCAACGTTCACTTCGCACAAACAGGAGCTGACAAGCAAACACTACCCACTGGCACACCGACTTCGACTTTTCAGCCGGACCGTAACACCCGCAGCACTCTACGGAGCAGAGACATGGACGCTCACGGAACCTCTTCGGCAACACCTGCGGCGAACACAACGACGCATGCTCCGCATGATCATCAGGACACCAAGGCGACGCGCTACCCGCCAAACGACCCCGACGAGTAGCACCCAAGAACACGCGGACGACCGCACGACCACTCAAGCACCTGACCAAGAAACCAGCAGCAGCGACGACGCAGAGAGCAACGCGCCCCAACAAGACACGACCGACCGACACAGCGAGAGCAACGACAACAACAATGACGAGGACGCGATGGAGCCGTGGGTCGACTACATCCAGCGAGCCACGCGGCGCGCAGAACAGCTCATGCAACACCACCACATCGAAAACTGGGAGACGATTCACAGACAGAGGTCGTGGCGCATGGCATCCAAGGTAGCCAAACACGAGCCCACCAGATGGACGTGGCGTGCACTGCACTGGCAACCAGGAGAGAACTCACGGCAACGTGGCCGGAGACACCACGGCGGCCAGCGCAAGCGCTGGGACGACGACCTCATCAGCTTCCTTCAAGAACACCGACCCGACCTGCACCCAGCGCCCACGCCAACCAACGAGCAGGGCAAGCCGAACGACCTCACTTGGGTTCGCTCAGCTCAAGACACCACCACGTGGTCGACACTCGAACACAAATACATCAGCACGTCGCCGACATTCACAACCAGGACTTCCTCCTCCTCTCCTCCTCCGTCATAACTTTTTGTGTGTTGCACCGAATCATGTATTGTGTGTCTCGCAGTTCCTGTGCATGTCTCTATGTTTACAGGAGGCCATGGCCTCACCCACCTGGTCTGGGCAGGCCCGGACAGTTGTCCGATGTGGTGGTTCGTTCGTTCGTTCGTTCGTTCGCCCGGGGCCTCGCCCGGGCACCGGCCGGGGTACGGCTCGTCCGGGGGTGCCCAGGGTAGTGGGGCACATACGAAGCCTACCCCTACCCCCCACGATTTCTGAGGGGAGGGTGGGGTTCGCTTCGCTCGGGAGCTTCCGAACCAAGTGAACCCCACCCTCCCCCTCAGAAATCGTGGGGGGTAGGGGTAGGGTTCGTATGTGGCCCCCTACAGGGGCCGTCGCGCGCGCGCGAGCTAGAAATGCTGTCAGCCTGCTATGCCGGAGATCTTGGCACGCCTCTGGCCCGCTGGGCCGGCGAAGTGGTCGTGTTGCCGATCGGCGCGGGCCCTCGCACCGCCCTCCCCCCACCCCATGGAGCAGATCCTGGCTGTGTGTTTGGCGCCTGTTTCGAGCATGCGGAGCCTCCCCCATGGCACGCACTGCTTCAGACAGTCGCATGCAGCAGAGGTCAGGAGCCAGACCTCCCTCCTTTCCGCCGAATGTCAAAACACGCCGAATGAGAAAACGCTCACCCTGCGGAGCCGAATGGCGTGGGTCCCGCTGGCGTGGTTGCAGTTCCGCTCGTGGCCGTGGGAGGGCCCCTCCTCGTCTAGCAGCTGCACGCAGAGGCCGTGCGGGCTCGCTTGGCATCGCTCGGACGTGTGCATTTTTTCCTCCGGCGAGGACCATCGAGGAGCATCCTTGATCACTTGGCGAAAAACCTACGCACGAAACCGAAACAAAACACACAGGGAGTGGACGTCCGAGCGATGGCCAGCTCGAGGGTGGCCGCGCCCCCCCCCCCCCCTGCGGCTTGTGAGGAGCCCGCCGCAGCAGTGGAAGCGATAGGTGCGCTTGGTGGGGTCGGTGCGGAGCTTCCTGCTGTTGGGGTTCGTGGTCTCGCCGCCGACGAGGCGGACGATTCGGTCGTCCTCCTTTTGGAGCTCTACGTGGCCATCTTCGGCGGCGATGAAGGCGACAGCCGCAATCCGCGCGGACTAGTGGTGGGCCTCCAGCTGGCTGTCGCCTGCTTCACGTCGGCCTTTGGGCTTCTTGGGCTCCTCGGCAATACGGGCTCCTCGGCGGGGTTGCTGGCCTTCATGGGCTCCTCGGCGCAGTTCGCGGCCTCCTCGGCGGTGTAGGTGGCCTTCTTGATCTTGCCTTCCCAAACGTCCGGGATGGTTGCGCTGCGCACGAGGCCAGGGATGAAGTCCGCGGCTTTTGCGTTAACGGTCGATTGTTTGCGGTCTTCGAGCCCTTGGGCCCTTGGGCCCTTCTGTTCTTGTGGCTGTTGCCGGGTCCTGCCCCTTCGGGTCCTTTGACCTCTTCGGGCCAACGCCCTAGAGGGTGTCCTGTTTTCCCCCTTTCGAGGTGCTCTCTTTTGACAGAGCTGCGGATGCAGCTCGGCCCGTGCTGTGTGTTGCCCTGCTTGTGCCACCACCTCCGGGCGGGGCGGGGGCGAGGACAAATCCGTTCCAGACCCTTCCGGAACGCTCTGAGAAGGCCGCGGCGCCCGAGACATCCTCCAGATCCGCCGGATCTCAGAGATTCGCGACTTATCCCCGCCCGATTTTACCTTCGTCCTGGCTTCGTCTTGCACCTGTTCCTCTCGGGCATCTCGCCCTGCGGCCTCTGGGCGGTGCCTGCCCGTTCCGCCAGCGTCGCGCCGGTCCTGCGACGCGCGTGGTCCTGCCTGCCCGTTTTTGCGTACCCCGTCCGTATGGGGAGCGACGAGTGGCATAAGCATGAAAGCTCGGAGGTCCGCGCGGACCTCCGAGTTTGTATGCTTATTCCCCAATCAGAGCTTGCCGCTGTGGGGGTCCTAGCGGATGAAAGGGTTAGGTGAGGTTCGTCGCCGATGTCGGTGGCCGGGTGCCCGGGTGCCCGGGTGCCGATTTCCGTGGCGGACCTCCGAGTTTTTGTGTCTATGGCGTGCTTCGGTCCCCTGCGGACGGCCCTGGCCCAGGGGTGGCGGGTCTTGTCCTCCACGGGGCTGCGGCCGAGGTGCCTCATGGCCGAGGGGAGCGCGCCTCGCGCGCCGCGGGAGCGCGCCCTGCCGGTGCCTAGCCGGGGCTGCCGCCTCGGCGTCGGCTGCCGCGGGCCTGCGGCAGGGATCGGCCACGCGCGTATGGGGGATATGGAGGGGAGGGGGGGCTGCTACTTGGAGGCACCCCTGCTTCTCAGAAGGAGCTGGCCTCGTCTGCAGATGCAGGGCCCGCGCCTTCTGAGAGGCGGCTGGGACTATCTTTACTACGGTACAACAGAGCTGGAGCTGTGCTACGCCTAAGGCGTAGCTTCTGGGCGGGCCTACCGGCCCCCTTCAAACTTCGGCGCCGTGGAGCATGCGGTGCGCGCTTTGGACGGCAGCCTTCGACGCTTCCCTCCGCTCCTGCTACCTCTGGGCCCCGATCGAGAAGCTGAGCCCCGGCAGGTGGGCTCGCAGTGTGCGATTCGAGCAGTCAGCCTCGGTTGGATCTCCTTGCAGATGAAGGCGAAGCGCGCGAGGAGCGAGCCAGGGGTGGGCATCGGTTCTTCCGCCTCATTTCCTCGCCTCTCCGCCTCCCCCTTCCCGACCCTTCCCCCCATCCTCTCCTCCTCCTCCTCCTCCTCCTCGACCCAGTCTCCCTTCCCCTCCTCGTCGCTCTCTTCCTCGCCCCTTCTGTTTCACGCGGATAAGCATGCGGCCCACAAGCAGGCGGCGTGCCCTCCCTCGTGCCTTTGGCTCGCGCCCGCCCTCCCACCGTGACTGGACGCGGCGCTCGCACGCTTAGTCTATCATGTCGCAGCACTCGGGGGGCCCACCTCCTCCTCCTCCTCCTGCTCCTGCTCCTGCTCCTTCTCCTCCTTCTCCTCTTCCTCCTCCTCGTCCTCCTCCTCCTCTTCCTCCTCCTCCTCCTCAGCCCATTTCAGCGTCACCCCACGTTCCCAGGGCCTGCCTGTCACCGTATCCCCGTACATCAATGCGCATATGACACGAGGGCGGTGAGCACTCGTCTCTTACTCGCACCGTGCTTCTCCATGGCTTCACACTTGTTCTCTATTTCCTCTTACAACTGTCTCAGCTTACTGCAGAACGACCGCTTTCAAGACATAACGTCGCGTCTACGTTCCAGTGTTCTTCTTTTACAAGGAATTCGACGACGCGTTCATGAATGTGATCCATGTGACGTAACACAGTTCTCGCGAGTATCATGTGTTTCAGTTCGGATACCACACTAAGTACGGCAATGCGCACACGGGCGTCACTATTGCACTGTCTGCACGCAAATTTTCTCGTATCCGAAACCACAAAGCTTATGGGGACGAGGAGGTGCCGTTCGCTGTAAAAATCGGCATGCTGATTATACATTCATCTCGGCGCACTTCCCCCCGAACACGGACACTGCTCGTAGTAAGCGTGACTATGCTGGCACACCTCGCTGGCTGGAGGATCTATACTTATCTATGCCGTCTCGTACCTTACCCATCCTCGGTATCGATTCGAATGATCACATCGGACTTGTTCGTACCCCCGCTGGTCATACCCCGTCAGACGACACGTGCACTGGTCCCTTCAATCGTAGCTTGCAGCAACTTCGCACTCAGCAGTTCATAGACTTTCTGCTCAAGTACGACTTAATTCTACTAAACACGTTCTACAATACGTACCCGACTTATTATCATGGAGTTACTGGCAGCACTAGCTATATCGACTTCATGCTTGTTCCTCGCAGTTTCTATTTTGCTGGTCACGTTCATAAATGCCAGACTCTCCGTCGTCTTGGAGATCGACTTCCATTGGTGCAGGCTACTAAACGCGTCGATCATCATCCAGTGTGTACTCTTGTGTCTCACAATATTCAGTATGACGGCCTCGAATCAGACAATCATGTTCGGTGGGACTTCGACTTACTTGTACGTTCGTGGTTATACGGATCCCACAAACAAGAATTCCTACGTGCATTGGACCAATGGGTTTGCCAGAATGCTTCATATCTGGACGGGTTTTGTGACAAGAGTGCTTCGGAACAGTGGGCCGCCCTGGTCGAACATGGATTATTGCCCATCGCGGCGAAATACCACAGCGCCTCCCGATCGCAATGCCCCCGCGGCCCCCACCGTCAGCATCTTCTACAGCAGCGACGAGACCTACGTGACCAGGCCGCCTCTCTTAATGATATACATATGGCTCGTGGTGATCATCGTTATCTGCATACTGTTCTACGGAGCTGGCTCATCATATCTCGTCTTTTACGTGTCAATCGCCCCATCAGACAGCACAACGCACAGCAACGCCGACTACTTCACGACCAACGTCAACTGGAACTCCAGCTAGCATGGAGATCCCGTCGGCTGGCAGAGGCTTGGCACCTAGCTCGACTACTCACAGGCCGGCGTATCGGCCGACGACTTCGTAACTCTCACAACGCAGCATTTCGGCAACGCTCTGAAGAATAATGGTTTCAACAACTATCCCAGCCAGGCTCCCAAGGAGGATGGAATTGCATGCGCCTCCCCCTCTCGCAGGTTCGCCGAGAATTTTATGAGGATCATGATAGCCAAACACATGTTGATTACCAATCCCACCTCCTCGGCGAATATGACCTTTATCAAACTCGATGGTGGATCCGCCAAAGCTTTAATCGTCGTGCCCCTCCTGCTCGGGGTGTCCCTAGTGAAGTTTGGAAGATGGTGCTCTGGTCAACAAGTTATTCGCGAAGAATCTCACGGTCTGGGCCACGATGGAGATCTGTTTCAACCCGCCCTGTTCCTTGAGCGGCTCCGACATATTCTAGCGATGGCCCGAGCTACTGGTCACAGCCCGTTTCAATTTCACCGCAGTCAAGGCTTTCAAGTTCCCAAGAAAGATGATGTCCGCATAGTTCAGTGTTTCTCCTTTTTCCAAGGCTTATCACAAAAGTCTTCTTCTGCGCCCTGGCAAGCCACATCGTCGACCGCCCCGTCGTGCATTTGCTGTTCCGGGCCGACGTCGAGAAGAAGCTATTCTTACCAAGCTCGTTGTTTCTCATTGGTTCGCCAAAGCTGGGATCAGTATCGCGAACCGCCACTGCGACGTCGTCAGTGCTTTTGCTTCTCCATCGCATGACATCATGGATGAAGCTACTCATCACTCCATGCTCGACAACGACGACGACATCATTGACGAGACCGCAGCAGAGACTCCCGACCATATCCTTCAACAAGATGAGAGCCTCCTACGCCAACATCATCGGGGCGCACATTGTACTCTTCAAGCTCATGACAAAGTGGCTGAGTTTTACCCCCAGAGCGGTGCATTCCAAGGCAATAGCGTCGCTACCAATGAGTTTCATGTTCCCTACTGGCGTGCCATAGACGAATGGAGTGCTCTTACTCGCGCCCCCGAAATGATCGGGCGCTCTCCTATCGATGATTCTGAAGTTGACCTATCCATCACATCGATTGTGGACGATTTTTGTGCAAGCAGTTCGTGATATCGACTCCTGCGCTCTTCAAGTATACGCAAGATGATCACGACGCCAAGCTGGACCGCTGTTTCGACAGGTTTACCATCGCGCAGCACAAGGGTAATAGCGAATCGACAGTTCACTTCGTGGGCACAGGTGCTCACACATATCAACGCATGGTTCGCTCTCATCAAGAATTTGGCAATGTTCTTCGCGCTGCCCGATACCTCGGGCCATATCTTCACTGCAAGAATTGCTTCTATGTTGAACGCCACCTACGTATTCAAGCTGCCTACACGGCATGGTTTATCTTTCGTCGATTTTGGTTTACTCATGCCGATCTTCGTTTTCGTGCTCTGGTGTTTCGTTGCGCAGTCTGGTCTGCACTTCTCTGGGGTCTTACTGCGTTCGCATTGCGGCCTCACGACTACACCGTATTCGGCAAGTGCATCATATTTCGTGCACGCATGCTTCTCAAGGGCAAAGCTACGATCAAGACTACTCAGATCGATGGCACCATCAAGTACCGGCCCATCCCGACTATTGAGATCTGGCGCAGCATTGGATTAGCTGACACGCTTACGGAACTCCGCATTCAACGTTTGAAATGGTTTCAACAGATTTGCCGTCGTCCTCTACATCACCAAGTATACGTTACTGCCATGTTCGGTCGATTACCTCATGACGACGGCGCGATGGTCACTCATCCATGGACGGATCAGTTACGCATGGATATCCAAGCATTGTCCCGCTTGGAATCAGCTTATTCCCTTGCTGACGTGAGTCCCGTCGACCTTCTCACCCCTGGCAACTTACAGGAGGACTTTCTCCTGGTGGACGTATCCGAGCTTCGTGCGCTGTATCTATCTGTCTCCATCTCACCGCCGTCCTATGAATATGATTGCGATGTTCTCCACCCGTCGCCATCATCGTGCGCGCTTCCCTCGGGTGAATATTATTGTGGTCTCATGCGTACCGACGGTAATCTATGCACATGCACGTTCAATACTTTAAAAGCACTTCGGTTACATCGCGCACGTGAGCAGTCTTTGCACGGTATGATCACCCTCGACTCGATCGTTCAAGAAGCTATATGCCCCTGGTGTTCGACACCTTTCGCTACGCGAAAGATTGCACAATATCATCTTCGTCGTAGCTGGTATTACGGTCGTTGTAAAGTCGATTTAAGCTATATTCCGTCACCTTCTATCGTGTCCGACAAGACATACCCATGTTCTATATGTGGTTTATTTGGGCACAGTTTCGAATGCGATGACATATACGCTTATCATCGCCATATTCGTACGGCGCACCTTTCTGGCCCAAGACGCCTCGAGTTTTCGGGATCACTACCAACTGACCCACAGAGCTTGCAGGCAGATTTCAATCTTCGTGGCCATGGACCTCGGCCTCGCCACCAGCACTGCCCCTCGTGCAGCGAAGGAGCGCCGCAAAGGAGCCAGCTCGAACGACCTCACCGCTCTCGTGCTTCTCATCGCCAAGTTGACCCTCAGTACTGCTATGTCGTCACGGGTTCTGAGGGCAATCGTGCTGGAAAATTATCAAGTGAACGAGAGCTCCGAGTTCTTCATCCAGGGGGAGACTTCTACAGAGAACTATTCGGAGGCGGCGAAGCAGTACAGCAAGGACCAGAAGCAGCTGAAGATCGCCACCCTGGCAGATCCACACGTCCACGTCTGGAATGCATGGATCATGGTCGGCAATCAGAAATTGCAGGAGAAGGAGCTCGACCCGCCTCAGCTCGCCAACCTGGACACATACGTGCAAAAAATGAAGAGCACGGGCAGCGAGACCAAGGATTACCTTCATGCTCTGATGAAAGAAGTTCGCTACGCCCGCTGCTGCAAGACGTACGACAGCAAAGTGAAGCGCCTCGAGGCGAACACAGTCGCAGGCAGCCCGAGCGCCACGGTCTACGATACCATCATCGTACCCATTCTCATCCGCGAGAAGGCCACCAAGCTCGAGGGAGCTGCGCCACCAGGCGACCTCGAGCGCAGGATCCAGAACACCATCGACGAGATGGAGGCGTGAGCCCTGCAACTGATCTCCCAGGCGTCCGCCACCGCTCGCCGCAGGGAGACAGGCCCCCCCCTACTCGTCCCCGCTCTTCGACGATCCTCCCCTCGTCTCCTCCTCCTCCTCCCCCTCCCCCTCTTAGTGTGACCGAAGGTCTTCGTTCCTCTTTACGGTTTCAGCTGGCCCGTCAGCGATTCTTTGAGCGTTCGAAGTCAGGTAGTGGATTTCAGAATGCACAGCAGTAAGTCTTGTGTGCACTCGTGCTACAGGTGCGAGTGCACGACGTTCGCGGCCCTTCGAATTCGTTTCGTTGCGGGCTTGCGTGCACTGTCGTCGGTGGGCCTGGCCCGTGTCGCCGCCCGTTCAGCGTCGCTTCTCTGAGCGTTTGAGCCCCTGTGCACTCGAACTCGTCGCTGGCTAATCCACGGCCCGTCGAGTTGTCGCTCTTGTGAGTCGTATTATTATTATTATTATCCTCCTCCTCTTCGTTCTCCTCCTCGTCCTCCTCCTCCTCCTCCTCTTCCTCCTCCTCCCTCCTCCCCGGGGGAGGGGTCTCCGGACTGCGCAGACACATGTGGTGTGGACAGGCGGTCCGGCTTCTCAGGCCAAGAAGGCAAGCCACAAAACGCATGTGCACGTGCATGCTTCTCGTCTCGTACACCCGAGCACTTGTGCATACACGTTTTCGAAAGCAGCTTGAGCCAATGAAGACGTCATAGTGGCACACGGCTGTGCTTCCAGAAAGAAGAGTCCTGCCGGCCCTAGACGGTCGAGACTATGCAGGATCCCATGCGTGCCCCCGGCAAGGCCCCATCCCTCGTGCAACCGAAGCACATAAGACCTGGAACAACCTGCGGGGAAGGGTCACGATGTGGACGAAGATCTAGTGGCCTTCGTCCCATCCCGCCACCGTGCCTGGGTCGTGTGTGTCGGAGTCGCTTTGGATGCAGCTTGGGGTCTCTTGGGATACCTGTCGAGGGCCTCTTGGAGGGCTCTTGGAAGCCTCTTGGGGGGGTCTTTGTTGCCTCTTTGGGGCCTTTTGGGGCCCCTGGGGGGCGTCTCGGGGGCCTCTTGAGGGATCTCTGGGCCATCTCGGGGTGGAGGGCTCGAAAGGCCTTTCGCTTCCCCCGTGGGGCCGTCTCTGAGGCCTCTTGGGCCCCTCTCGTGGGGCGATATGGGGGCCTTGGGCCATCTTGGACGCTCTCTTTGCGGAGATCCTCTGAGATGCCGACATGCAGTAATCACAGAACTCCCTAACTGTTTTTCAGTTGATTGCGTGGGCCCGACCCCAGGGTTTCCAAGATGGCCTTAAGACGGTGGTGGCCCGATTCAGGGCCCCCTTGGACCGTCTGGACGCCCTCTTGGGACCCGTTGCGGCCGTCTTGGCGCTCTCTTGCCCCAGGAGCAGTCCCGTGTCACACCACTGACGTCACGCGAGAAACCATGGACAGTCCGTGAGTTGGGGCCCTGGGCCCGCGATGGAGACCGATCGCAACCACTTCGGACCGATCGTCGACCACTTCGGACTGATCACAACCAGTTGCGATCGGGCCGGAATGGTTGCGATGTTTCTGGGTCGCTACAATGAAGTTTCGATTCAGGGAGATATCAATAGGGCACATCTGGGTGCACTGATCTCCCGTAAGCCGCCCAGTGGGAATCTGAAAAAGCGTTTGCGATCGGTCCGCACACCGACGGCCGATCATGGTCTCAGTTAAACGCATGTTTTTGAGCTCGAACGTGTCCATGATCGGTGTAGATTCCTATGTTCTCCAAATAGGCTTGCCCTATAGGAGTTCAACTTCACTCTACTAATTGGTCCGTTGGCCCCTCCTAATTCCTATGCCCCCCTAATGCCTATGGTTATGCCTATGCCTCCCCCCCAACTCCTCGCCCGCGCCTATGCCCATGCCTATGCACCACCTCTGAACGCTTCTAGCACCCCCCCTTTTTCTAATGCCCCCCCTTTTCCAATGGCGCTTGCTTGCCTGCTCTTGCGTACTTGCTCTCGCTTGCTTGCTCTTGCTTGCCCCTGCTTGCTTGCACTTGATCGCTGGCTCTTGCTTGCTTGTCATTGCTCGCTTGCGCTTGCTTGCTTGCGTTTGCTTGGCTTTGCTCCTCCTGTCCTCCTCCCGTCCTGCTCCCGCCTCCTTTCGTCCGCCTCCCATCCCCCTCTCGTCCCCCTCCTGTCCTCCTATCTCTTTGAAGTCAACGCTGGCTGATCTGTGATTCCCATACGATTCATATGCGATTCGTATCCGATCTCGATGGGATTCGTATACGATTCCGATGTGATCCGCATACGATTCCAATGTGATTCGTCTGCGGAATTCGCCAGAATCCTAAGAGGGTCCCTGCGGGAATCTTGGGAATTCCTACGGGTCCTACCAATTCCCAGATTCCTGGGGGTGCCTCCTAGGGAATCCCAGGAGTTCCCAGGGATCCTACCAAGTGCCAGATTCCTGAGAAGGATCTCTAAGGAATGTTAAGAATTCCTACGGGTTCTACCACTTCCCAGGCTCCTGGGAGGGCCTCCTAAGGAGTCCTCGGAATTTCCAGGGACCCCACCAATTCCCAGATTCGTGAGAGGGCCTCTGAAGGATTCGTCGGAATTCCCAAGGATCTTACCAATTGCCAGATGCCTGGGAGGGCCGCCTCGGGATCCTACCAATCGTTCAGATGCCTGGGAAGGCCTCCTCAGGAACCACAAGAAGTCCTAAGGATCCTACCAAATGCCATATTCCTAAGAGGGTCTCCGAATCAATCCTAGAGCTTCGGCAAAAGCTCTGCAGAAGCTCACCAGATGCTCTGCAGAAGCTCTTCTCTGCTGAAGCTCTTCAGAAGCTCTTCGGAAGCTCTGCAGAAACTCTGCAGAAGCTCTGCAGGAGCTCTGCAGAAGCTCTTCGGAAGCTCTGCAGAAGCTCTGCAGAAGCTCTGCAGAAGCTTTGCAGAAGCTCTGCGGAAGCTCTGCAGAAGCTTTGCAGTAGCTCAGCAGAAGCTCTGCAGAAGCTTTCGCAGAAGCAAGCTCTGCAGAAGCTCTTCGGAAGCGCTGCATAAGCTCTTCGGGAGCTCAGCAGAAGCTCAGCACAAGCTCTTGGATCGGGTGCAATCTGGTGCTCTCCACAAATACCTGTATAGGAATCCTTCAGGTTGCGATCAGTCCGTTTCCAGGGGTTGTAATCTGACCGCAGTAGTTTCTGCACGGTCCGAAGTGGTTGCAGTCGGTCTTACTCTCCCCATGGGCCGATGTTACATAGCTGTTTGCAGCACCCAGTGCAGAGGACTCTCCGAAGCGTGAGGGCAGAGTGCATAGCGGCACGGTGGCGGATGCGCTCTCTGTTCAGCACCGCGTTGGCCTGCCGAGTTGCTCGCCTCTCGGCCTGCAGTCTCAGATGCGCGTGCCTCAGCTGACGCGGTCCCTCGAGCGAGCTCCACACGGCCGCTCCTCTTCTCGTCACGTGCTTCATGCGTACGCGACCTTCTCCCGCCACCTCTTGTGGCCGGCGGCCTCCACGAGAGGGGGCGTGTGGACATAACAACCACGTAGGACGTTTCATGCTTCTTGACCTGTACAGCACCGCGTCCGTTGTATCTGCCTTTTGGCCGACGAGCTCGTCCTCCCAGGGCCTCGCTCCCGTGTTGCACTGGCTTTCGCTCCTCACAGTTCGACCGCGAAGGACGCGACGAAGGTGGAGGCGAGCCCGAGCACCTGGGATGCGGATGAGAATGAGGGCGAGGCGGCGGCGGAGGAGGCGGTGGAGAAGGAGAAGGACGTTATGCAGATGAAGGAGAAGGAGCCAGAGGTTGAGGGGGACGAGGCGATGGCGGAGCTATAGGATAAGCATGCGATTGACGAGGAGCAGCAGCAGCAACAGCAGCAGCAGTCTGAGGTGTGGGGGTGAAGAGTGTGGAGGGGGGGGAGAGATAGACATGAGATCGCCTCCTCCTCCTCCCTGTCCCCCTCCGTAGTTCCTCCTCAACCCCTCCGTTCTTCCCTCCCCTCCTGCCCTCTTGGCGATGGCCTCTTCGGGACAGAATTCCAGCTGGCTTCGCACTGATCCGTGCAGTGTGGCTGAAACGGTCCTCCTAATTCCTCTTCTCCTCATCTTCCTCATGCTCCTGCTATTTCTTCGAGCTAGGCGGCCATCGACCGGGAATTGTTTGATCACTGCTGGGCGAGCCTGCGATTGAGCTGTCACGCAATGTGCTGGTGCGACCCCTGTCTCTGTCTTGTATTATAGCGCGGCTCGCGACTGTTTCACAGGCTGTCTGGCTGAAAAACACAGTCAGCAGATTTCGGGCACAGCAGCGGTGCGGGGAGCAGGCATGGTTGCTTCGATGCCTTGTGAGCCCAGCCGCACGTTACGACTGCGAGCAAGGGACATGGTGTTGCGCGTAGTCTGGGTGCGAAAGTGTTGCGCTTTGGGACACGGCAACGTTAGGAAGCATACGCCGATTTTTACGTATACGCACATGTAAGAGGTTATCGCACGACTGCACCTTCGCATTCGCGTGCGAAGATTTATATACATCGCATACAGTCGCAATGGTACGCAGACCTTGTTGGAGCAGTCGGTTTGGCGAGTACGAGTTGACCAAGCATAACATGTGTGTGTGTGTGTGGCACACGGGATCGCGATTGCCTCAACCAGCTGAGGCGGTTCTGTGCAGCCGTTTTGGGGTGTGCGCTCGCGCAACGCAATCTCTCGCTCGAGCCGATCTGGCACTCGCGAGAACTCTGACAGGATCTGGACAATGAGGACTCTGGCGAGCACGTGCGCCGCAGTTTACGTTACGCGCGCAAGCAGGAGGGCGATTTACCAAGTGCGCAAAGTGGCAACGCCGAACTCGGACAAGGGCCATGACGCACGCAGAGAGCGGACATTATTCACCAAGTGCATGCGTGCATGCGTGCATGCGTGCACGGTGCATGTCTCGCTTGCCTTTCCTACTCCCTCCCGTTTGCTTAGGCGCAGGAAAAACCTTGTATGATTTGTTGGAGTTTTTGGGCCCCCCCGGCCGCCCCCTGCACAGAATGACAAATGCGGCCACCCCCCTTGTACCCACTTTAGCCCCGGGGGTCTGGGGCGTTTTTTGGGGAGCTCCGGGGGGGGTGGTTCATCCGGCTAATAAGTAGTCGCAGTCACAATTCCGACATGAGAATTGCGCCAGGAGACTGCCAAGATGGCCAAGAAATGCCCTAGACGTTCCTATATGGCGCCCACATCGCTTCTGCATGCCTCCAAGACGGTCCAGGATGCGTAACAAAAACGCTCAGAGGTTTAAGAGGTGCATGCCATTGGATTTCCACCATTGGTTCTTAATTTATTCTAGCGCACTTGCTTTCGTCGTCTTCAGAGCGTCCGAGACGGCTCATGAGGCACCCATGACCATGCGAAACATAGTCAGGAACACGAAGCTTAGTGCGCGAAGGAGTAGGAGGGACTCATCGGATTTTTGCCCGATGACCACGCAAACTAAAGATGATGATGATGATGATGATGATGATGATGATGATGATGATGATGATGATGATGATGATGATGATGATGATGATGATGATGATGCTGATGCTGATGATGATGATGATGATGATGATGATGATGATGATGATGATGATGATGATGATAATGGTGATGCTGAGGAGGAGGAGGAGGAGGAGGATGAGGAGGAATATAAGCAGCAGCATAAGCACAATAATAATGACCAGAAGGAGGTGGAGTGGAGGAGGAGCAGGATGAGTAGGAAGAGGAGGTGGATCAGGATGATGATGATAATGATGATGATGATGATCATCATGATGATGCTGCTGCTGATTAAGCTGATGATGACGACGATGACGACGACGAACATTCTGCTGATGATGCTGATGATGATGACGATGATGATGGTGATGTTGATGATGGGAATGCTGATGATGATGATGATGATGATGATGGTGGTGGTGGTGATGATGATTATGATGCTGATGCTGATGATCATGCTGATGCTGGTGACGATGATGCTACTGATGCTGCTGCTGCTGCTGATGTTTAGAATGATTCGTATGATGATGAAGACGACGACGATGATGATGGTGATGATGATGCTGATGATGATGCTGCTGATGATGATGATGATGAGGATGATGATGATGACGACGGCGACGATTATGATGATGGTGGTTGTGGTGATGATTATCCTGCTGCTGCAGCTGCCGATGCTGGTCATGATAATGATGATGGTGCTGCTGCTGATGATGATGATGGCGATGCTGTTTATTCCAACGTTGACGTTGATGGTGATGTCGATGATGATGCTGCTGCTGATGGTGATGCTGACGATGACGATGATGATGTTGGTGCTGATGATAATGATGACGCTGATGCTGCTGATGATGATGCTGATGAAGTTGATGCTGCTGATAATGATGATGACGAGGATGCCGCTCATGCTGATGCGGATGTTGCTGCTGCTGATGATGTTGATGGTGATGGTAGTGGTGGTGGTGGTTTTGGTGATGATGGTGGAACTCGTGATGGCGTTGTTGATGATGATGCTGATGATGCTGCTGACGATGATGATGCTGATAGTCATGCTGCTGCTGATGATAATGCTGATGATGCCGATGACGATGGTGATGCTGGTAGTGGTGGTGGCAGTGGTGGTGGTGGTTTTTGGTGGTGATGATGGTAATGATGGTGGTGCTGCTGCTGAAGCTGCTGCTGATGTTGCTGGTAATACTGATGATGCTGATGATTGTGCTGCTGCTGCTGATGATGCTGATGATGATGATGGTGATGATGCTGATGCTGATGCTGCTGATCATGATGCTGCTGCTGATGATGATGCTAATGATGATGCTGCTGCTGATAGTGATGGCGACGACGATGATGATGATGATGATGATGATGATGATGATGATGATGATGATGATGCCGATGCTGATGCTGATGCTGATGCTTATGCTGATGCGTATGCGGATGATGATGATAGTGATGATGTAGTGGCGGTGGTGGTTTTGGTGGTGGTGATGATAATGATGGTCGTGCTGCTGCTGATGATGCTGCTGCTGCTGATGATGATGATGATGATGCTGATGGTGATGGTTATGCTGCTGCTGCTGATGAGCGAGCGAGCGACCGTGGCCTTACCCGAAGGTGTGCCGAGTAACAACAACTCATGCTGGAGGCCGGCTGTGCTCGGGCTCCAGGCGAAAGCTGCGCTGCGTGCAGCACGCCTCTTTTGCACGCCTCGTGTGGCAAGCGCGGATGCCGCCGCGCGCACCTCACTGGGTCGCGTCGGTCTGTCTTGGTGGCCGCCGCTGTCGAGCCACGAGGCGCCCTCTACCAGCCAGCACGTCGGCGCGTGCGAGCTCTCAGTCGGCTTGGCCCGCGGCCTCGATCATGGCGTCCTCGTGTCCGTCGAGGCGGCCCGTGCGCATCCTCTCGCGCCTTGGGGACTGTGCTGCAAGTGGTGGACGGCCCGCGGTCGAGATCCGTAGTTAGGGGGCCACATGCGAACCCTACCCCTACCCCCTACGATTTCTGAGGGGTAGGGTGGGGTTCACTTCCCCCTAGCAGTCCTGGCCGTACGCCGGGCATGTGGACGAGATGCAGTATGCCCGAGCCGTGGCAATCATTTGATGGGCTCGATGCCGGTGGCCTGCGAGGCTGCGCCATCCCCTGCACCACTTTCGGCACAAGCTGCACTGTAGAAGTTGCTGCGCCCAGGTCGGGGTCGAGCGCTGGGCTTCTTCGGCCACTTCGGTTTCGGCAGCCGTTGGTGGATGGGCTTGCTGTGCATTGACCTCCGGGCGATTCGGGCTTGCTGTGCAATGCCCGCCCTCCTGCTGCTGTTGCCGCTTATGCTGCTGCTTCTGATGATGACGATGCTGCTGATGATGATGATGATGATGATGGTGCTGCTGCTGCTGCTGATGATACTGCTGCTGCTGGTGATGGTGGTGATGAGGATGATGATGCTGCTGATGATGATGATGATTCTGATGTCGAGGATGCTGATGATGATGCTGATGCTGATGCTGATGATGATGATGCTGCTGCTGATGATGATGATGATGCTGCTGATGATGATGAGGATGATGATGACGATGGTACTGATGATAGTGATGATGTTGCTGCTGCTGATGATGATGATGATGATGCTGATGATGATGATGCTGCTGTTGTTGCTGATGGTGATGATGCTGCTGCTGCTGATGATGATGATGGCGATGATGCTGCTGGTGCTGCTGCTGCTGCTGCTGATGATGATGATGACGAGGAGGAGGAGGAGCGAAGCAGGAGCAGGACGAGCAGGAGAAGTATCGTCCGAGCAGCCGCTTGTGGGATCGGGTGGCCCCTGTGCTGGTTGTGGCGCCTGTTAGAGGTTGCACACTCAGACCCTGGGCCACCCTGCTGAGGTAAAGCCGTCCTGTCCTGGCCTCAGCACGTCACTGGTTGAGGAGCTGTCCTTCAGCCCCGACGTGGTGGGAGCTCAGACCTCCGCACACCTCACCAACCACAGCACCTTCCCGCCCAGCCCACATCCATCCCCACGTCGAGCCATCGAACCGCTCCGGCCGCATGGCGTCCAGTGGTTGACGAGCGTTTTCCCTCGACCCCGACAAAGGCGGGGGCCCAGACCCCCGCACGCGCCACCAGCCACGACGCGTTCCCGCCCAGGCCCCCGTCCATCCCCGCGTCGAGCCACCCCAGACCGTGCGAAGGGTGTGTGACCGCCCCGCGCCCTGCGTGTCCTGCAACCTCAGCAAGGAGGAGGATCAGGAGGAGTACACCTTAGGCGATGCTTAAGACAACTTCAGTTTTCGTCCAGAGTCTCGATTATTCTTAACTTTTCAATGTAAATCCTAAGATTTGAATAGAAATTTTGGGTTTTTACTCAAATTCTGAGACTATGAATTTCTTAACCCATGATTTCTTAAGCATTTCGCAGGGTGTACTAGTGCTGACCCAAGACGTGTCCACGATGTTGAAATATACCCTCCCTCCAAGATGCCTATTCTTAGGCCCCCCAAAAAGGGGTCATGGACAACCGTGTGAGCGTCTCGCAGCGTGCCAAAACACCATTCTGAGGACTTCGCCGCCACGAGTTAACCTGACTGTTACGTCTTGGCGAACCTGAGCCGTGGTGCCAGAACACCACTTCAACACCGCGAATCAACATAACTGTTGCGCCCTGACAATCCTGATTCGGTCCGAGGCACGAGAGCCAGTCAGAGTTTCCAAATGTGTAACACGAATTTGCGCGGGGCTGTGGCGAGAGCCACATTTTGAAGACGGCCCGCCTTCAACCCGTGAAAGTCTTGTAATCGTTCGAAGCGAATGTGCGCGGCGTTACTGCGAGAGCCACATTTTGAAAACGACTCGCCCTCAATCCGTGAAACTCTTGCAATTCTTTAAGATTC